TTATATGACCTATCATTTAGTACATTTTTCAATCAAAAAAATTGTATAGGTCTTCTGGACGGGTTCTTCTTTAATGAAACGTTTTGTCTCTCTTCCAAGAGACTTTTCAGTCTGAGAGTTTCAGGCAAAACTGCCTGAAACTCTCAGACTGAAGAAGTCTCTTGGAGGAGAGACAAAACGTTTCATTAAAGAAGAACCCGTCCAGAAGACCTATACAATTTTTTTGATTGAAAAATGTACTAAATGATAGGTCATATAATGTTGTTATGAATGTCAATTGTAATTTTTTCTAATTTTTTACATCTAGGGAACTACGGATGAAAATAAGCTTGTTTGGATAAAACTGGCATAATTATGTGATGTATTCATGTTGATTAATATATATTGTTTCTCTATAAAATAAATAAAATTTCAAATTCAAGGTCCATTAGCTGTGGTGGCCATATTGAAGTTGACCCCAAAAATAAGCCAGCTGTACACTGAATTTCATTAAATTCTGCTCAACAATGCACACATTATTTTGCTAACAGACAGTTTATGTTGTATTCCAGGGGTTCCCAAACCTTTCCATGCCAGGAACACCTCAAATAACATCAACTTCTGGTCTGCAAACCTACACAAACAATGTTACAAAATATGTAAATAAATAAACATCAACTTTTCAAATGTTTTTCCTCACTTCTAGTCACTATTCTATATTTATTACGTTTGTTTAACATATATATTCCCAACTTTTCAACAAACTGTTAGGACAAAAGAAATTAAACTCTTCAGTTCTCTTAAATAAAACTTCAATAAAGTATAAATTATATTTTAAAATAATGATTGAAAAACAGAATTGATTCATGATAACGATTTAAACTATTTATTACTAATAAATAGTTTATTAGTTTGATCTAATTAGATTTTTTTTTTTATTTATCCTTTCACCCCTCCTGTCCTCCAGTTTCCTAAAGAGCCCCCAGGGTCCCCTGTTGGCCCTCACTTTGAAAAACACTGTCCTGTCTTTGTCAAAGGGGCAGCACGTTRATAGGAGGATGTTGCCCCCTGGCTCCTTATTGGTGCCACCTTTGGCAATGAGCTTTAGTCTAAAGTTGTTCACTATTTTAACAGCTATATGAATTTTACATGTTTCTGTGAACCACGTGACACTGGCGCATCGGACCTAACTACAAAAAGAAAAAGAAGAATCGCCATTCCAGTTTCTGCCTTCTGATTGGTCGGACGGCCTGTCCGTCAAAAACTCCTGTCCTGGGATTGGGCTTCTCCCGGAGCCGCGTCCTTTCTCTCCGTACCTGTCTGTCTGTGAGAGGCCAGAGCTCTTCCTGGTCCTCGTTAAGGTCCCGCCCCTTCATTCAGCTCCCAAGGGAAGGAAGGAGGAAGTCCTCCAGCCGCGTGTGTCACTTCCAGTGTGCTGCAGAGCGGGGCTGCCATGTCTCTCCCTGGAATTATCTAGCTGCTGCTGTTGTCAGCGGGAAACGAGGTTACATCCGAAGGCTGCTCTGGGGAGCGGGGTACCGAGCTCGGGTGGTGTAAGCGTGTTCGGAAGTGGAGCGTGGCAGAGAAAAAAAGAAGACCCGAGTGGGGTGGCGGTGGTGGGGGTGTTTCTTTCCTGGTCGACACTACGGGATTGACGTATAAAAACATGGCGGAGCATCACCCGGCGTCCGACAACAAACACAAATCCTCGCTGAACTCCACGGCGTCGTACTCCGGGAACGGGCGGAGCAGCACGGCGGTAGCGGAGAGGGACGGCACCGCTGCCGGGGCAGGGGGGCTGCCTGGTGGGTTGTCGCAGCCMGCCGGCTGGCAGTCCCTGCTGTCTTTCACCATCCTGTTCCTGGCCTGGCTGGCCGGCTTCAGCTCCAGGCTCTTTGCCGTCATCCGCTTCGAGAGCATCATCCACGAGTTCGACCCCTGGTAAGTTCGTCTCTCCCCACTTTCTCCAACCTCACACACTGCCAGGAAAACTCACGAATATATAGGTTTTATTTTTTTACACCTCTCCATGATGATCCAAATAATAAAGGCCTAGCAATCTTTGGAGGAAAGCATATCTCCCGCCACCATTAATACCAAAGTTTTACACCATCTTTTGTTGAGAAATGGCCTATTGGTTTAAAAAATATTCAGCTCAGTTTTCTGTGATCTGGTGAAATGAGTTTGTGTTGGGACAAACTCTCATCAAATAATTTGCTCAGAGTTTATAAAACTGTTTTAAAGGGGACACATCACACATTCCCACTTTTTAACCATTAAATACATTTTGTTGTGTGCTTGGAGTCTTTAGGAGGCGGAAAAGTTGGCTTTATTCTCTCCCAGTGCTGCATATATTTTATATTCTGTTTGGGTCATATTCTTCAACCTGCAACAGGACCTATAAACAGGGTTGCACATCAAATATTTGCTCTGGTTCTCAGGGGAGAACCTTGCTTAGTGCTCATATTTTCTTTCACTCATTTAACACATTTATTTATGTGGGCATCAGGGCATCTAACATCCCCCCGTTCTGTTTCATGACTCCTATCAGCTGCAACGCCTCATGTTAAATCAGTCTACCAAGTTTTTTATTTAAATTTTTTACTCTGCATAAATTTTGTAAACTACCTAAGTGGCCGAGGGGCTGGGTGTATGTCATATAAACATCACAAACTGAACATTTCATGTTTAAATGTCTTTTAGATTAACATGTCCCTCAGATGGACAGCTCCTGTTTGGTCTTCACTTTGGCCTTGGTTAAACCAGCTTTCAACACTCTCCAATCCAAGCAGCAAATATCTGTCTTTTGCACAGAGCAAAATAACTTAAAACCCAAGTTATTATTATATAATTATATAAGTTATAATTTGTTAGACTGATTTCTTTTTTAAAAGACTATTTTATTCAAAAATGTTGTATTATTTAGACGATTTCAGCTCATGTAYTTATTTATTTTTCGTATTTGATCATTTAATAAATTACATTTATCACAGAGCAGCTGTGTCACAGTATGGTCCTAAATATAAACAAGTTAAGCACATCAAGAACCTTGTTTTTCGATACAATTGTGAATGAAATTTGTGGATCTTTATGATAAATTAAAATAACATTTAAAATCATTCATCTAGAGAACATGGCAAGTTGTTTTTATATTTTTTAATATACTGTATACTGTATTGTTTTTGGACGGGGTGATGTTAAACAGAGAATCATCTTTGCTTTAATATGGGGCAAACAAACGTTCTGTAAACAGTGAATTTCACAGAAASACTCAGCCTGCGCGCGCAGTGACGCGCTCCCATCACAGCAGTCTCTCATCAGGAGGAGAGTTTGTCACTCACACAGACATCTGTTCAATAACAACATTCTGAACATATAGTTAATATAAAGTTAGGTTTTACAGACCAAAGTCTCTGGTAGTTCAGGAGCAAAGTGCAGGAGGAGATGTCAGGACTGACCGCTGCAGCCTCAGAAATCTCTGCTCTAGTCGAGCCGCTGCTTCAACCAAACTTGCTCTCACTGAAAGTCCCGTCCTGCTCTGCTGTGATTGGATAAAACGGCTCTGAACTTCGTCTGATTTGTTGAAGGCAGTGTCTCAGTTTAGTCTTTATATCAGGGTCCCGCTGTCCTAAGAGGCTTGGTGAGCACCGAACAAGATCCAGTCACACCAGTGCGGCTGGATTTTTGTATTTTTTAAAAAGAAATCAGGTCGCATTTGCGACCAGACTGGTCACACTCTAGAGCCCTGCTAACTGTTGTTTTGACAGACAATCTCAGGTACACAAATGCACTTCATGACATTCCATCTGGTGCGCTTTTTCTTTTTTTGACTGCGCATGCGCACCTGTGTACCACTTATGTGCAACTCTGCATATAAATAAGGTCTGGACTTACCAACAACAGTTTGATGTTCTTCATTCTCCTCTGGTTCTGGGTCAGACTCTGGCTCCAACATGAAAGGCTGGGTGGACAAGTCTTTCCTTGTTGACATCTTTGAATTCATTTGTAAATAAAAAGTTTCTGCACAGCTATATAGTCGTAAGTCCTTCTATCAAACTAAAATGAACCAGTCTGGAAGCTGGAGAGGGCGGGGTGTGAAGCACCTCATTTGGATTTAAAGAGACAGCCTTAAAACGTGTTGATCTGAGTCAGTTCAGAAAAGGGGCAGGGCTTGTGGAGTCACGGTAAGGAGGAATTCAAACAAAAGTACTGCATTTCCACTTTATATAGACCCCAACTGAAGGATTTAAATGTGGAAAAAAGGATTTAAAAGCATCAAATGTCTCCTTTATTACCAGTTTTCTGTTTGCTAAATTCAGCGATCAGTGGCGACCATCTTGAATTGGTTTGACTCTAAAAGGTAATCAGTTAAATTGACCATTGAGGTGTTACTTCCTGGAGGGTTTGTGAAAATCTACTCTATGGTTCAAGAGATTTTAATAGAAATAGTCGATGCACAGTTTAAAACAAAGCTCTTTTGAAATCTGTTAGTTCTTATTTGGGAATCAGTCTCGGCCACAATCAAGCTTTTTTGTTAGTTCCTGTAAAACTGACAAGAGTTAGAGATATGTTTGTGTATTTTTTAAGGCCACTTGGCTGCATCTTCTTGAATCAGGTTGACTTCAAAAGTTGAATAACTGAGAATAATTTTCTGTGAGTTTCATTTAAATTTGACCAGTGGGATAATGGCTAAAACATTATCATCCCACCTTCACCTTTCGATAGCTTTGTTTGATGTGGATTGCTCACAGAAAAAAAACCTTCTCGGCCCCTTTCACACAGATCTCTACTTTGTTTACACACAGGCCAGCTGATTTTGTTGGGTTTGCTTTTGCAGCAGCAGCTCTGATTTATTTCCACTTCAGTTAAAGAACCAGAGCACCTCGTGTCTCCTCACAGCAAACATGCTCTGTAGCTCCTGCTGCACAGTACAGACTCATTACCTGTGCTTAACTCTGCATTATACTGTTAAATACAGTATTAGGAGTCACAGGCCTTTAAAAGTTTCGTTTGATCTGGTAAATATTAGGGGTGTAAGAAAATATCGATACACTGAAATATCGCGATATTTCA